GTTTCAGATTGCTGGTATGAAGGAGGAAGAGAGTATGAATGTTGATGAAGGAGAAGAAGAAGAAGATTCTGGCTGTAAGTCTGCCCATCTTATCATAAATTTCTACAAGAATGGAAGGATGGCTAGATCTTTGGGTTTTCTATTGGTTTTCGCGGTTTTGTTCTCCGGGTAATCTTGATCAGCTCCTTTAGCCATGCACAATGGATTCGATCTTTTCTGGTTTGAATATAGTCACAAATCCATGCATAATTAGTGAGAGCAGTTACCGTTTAGAAAAAAAATGTTCTCAACTTATCTTTACATGTAGGGATTCTACAATAGCATTAATGTGAAGAATACCCGATTTCCGTGATTCGCCGAAATTCGCGTCGCAACCGCCATATCTTGGTTCAGAGCGGATGGATCTTGAGTCCAAGGGCATTAATCAATTTTTTCCTAAGGTGCATCTTCTTATAATTGGAAGTGCCCATCTGATAGATGTGTTTTAGGTGGTCAGTTTATAGCAGCAACTAATGCATGTACATTTCATCAGCATATTGTCTTACCGGTAGCAAAAATCTGAAAAGAACCTTGAAATGTAGCAGAAAACTACCTATCGTACACCTACCGTATCCAGGCACTCACGAGGGGAGGATACTTGGTCGAAGTGGGGTTTCCATATGAAATGTCTAATCTCATAGCATGGAACGCTGATTCCAAATCTGCTTTCCCTATCTGCAAAGCGCTTCTGGGAGGGGAGTTCTGGGAATTTTTTTTTTAGTAAAAATTAAATGGTTTGGTTAAGGTAAAAACAGGTGTTGGGATCTTTCCGGCGCTTGAAAAGAGTAATGACTGACAAGAGCTTATCAGATTGAAGGTAGTATTGCATAAAACGCCCTGCTAGTGATCATAGCCCCATTCGAGCTCATAGACCGCACTTTGGATGATTTTATGGTAGCCGCGCATTCGAATTTTTGCTCCAGGAAATTTGCATAACTTCCCTCCTAGAAGCGCTTTGCAGATGTGGAAAGCAGAATTGGAATCAGCGTCCTAAGCTCTATAAGACAGTAAACATTTTATAATGAAACGCCACTTCGACCAAGTATCCTTCCCTTGTCAGTTCTATAGATCAGAAAATGCGCGTCGTTGAGCTGACAAGGGAATGGTCAGAAGTCGAAGTGGCCAACCCATACAAGCTGCATACCATTGAATGCAGTATAAAATGCTGACTCTAAATCTGTCTTCCTTATCTGCAGAGCGCTTTTGTGGACGAAATTATAAGCCGTTGAAGGCCATTATTTTGCTAAGAAATTGTGCATGTAAAATGCAAACTTGGCCGTACAAAGCCATTCTCGGCTCAGTGTTGGACCAGAACATGCAACTAGGTCAGTTTATATGACGCGTACCTAGATGTGAGCTGAAACAGCAATAATATGCCTAATTTCGCAATTTTTGTATACGGTTTTTTTGCAGTAAAGCTGCTCATAACATCGCCTACAAAGGCGCTCTGCAGATACGGAAGGCAGATTTGAAATCAGCGTTCTATGCTGCATCGAATGGTATGTAGCTTGTTTGGATTGGCCACTTCGACTTCTGACCATTCCCTTGTGAGTTGAAAAATGCTTGATTCAGAATTGTCCACTCTGAACCGAAAATTTTCGATGCGATGCGAAGCTGCGCAACTTTGGCAAAATCGCAGGATTTCTCATAAATCTTGATTAAAATTGTATTTCGTCTAGAATAATGCTTTCAAGAGATGTCATCTTCGTTTTTGTGTGTAGTCTGTGTAAGCAGAAGCCCACAAATAAGAGAAATTACTTTTTAATTTTTTTTTCGGGTTTCACTTTCTAATAACTTTTTTAGTGTCAGACGAAGAAGCTGTGAATGCATCCGAAAGCAAATCTGCGAAAAAGCATCTGGAAAACCTACAAAAGTAAGTTACCCTTTCTACTGATATATCGATAGAGCGCACTCCTATGGCCGTATTCATCAACGAACTCAGTGGTTTCTGCTATATACCCAGTGGGTAAGCGAAAACAGTGCCGCTGGGTTGGATTGATCTTCGCAAATGATTGCTGAGTTCATGAACACTAGCTTTTCAATACCGATCTCGTGAGTTAGGCCTATCCGCTGGGTGGCGGAAACCACTGGGTTCATGATGAATACGTGCGGTGCAATTAATCTGCAATTCAGTCCACTGACTTAGAAAATGGCTGACCGTCCCTGACCTGCACCAGTCATCGCATTGTACATACATGAAAAAGCCATGAACAGATTTTTACGAATTTTGATGGCTTGTCGACCTTGCGTTTGATTACCGCTAATAAGAAGTAAAGTGATGTTGGCGTATCAGGTCATCACATCTTTTTTGGATCACGCCTAAGTGTTGAAATGGGCCAGATAAAAGTTATCCATCTTCGATTGGATATCAATTTGCGGGTACATCAGAATCTTACCCTAAAAGGACTCGGTTAATCAAAGTCAAGTGTTATGGCTCTCAAATGTTCTAAGGAGGGGTAACCTTAGCCTACCCCGAGTACATCTCCAGACATCATCGCGTACAATTGAAGAACATCAGACGAGAGTTCTAGATTGGATAATGATCATATAAACTCTTTTACCGTTTGTAATAGCCCTTTTCCAATACTCCGGTACCGAAGATCTATTCAAACCGTGATATACTACAGTGGCACAGCCATCTGGATAATTTGTTTCACTTCGCATGTGTACGGCACTGCTTACAACGGGTAAAAAAGGAAAACAACCTTGAGTGCAACAATGTAGCCCAGAGTAGTAGCAGGGTAATTAATCCCTGCATAAAGTGTAGAAAAAGCGCGACTTGCTTGAGACCATTCGGATCTTACCTTCATCTTTCTCTCTTACTCGCTTCTAACCCTAATACCTCAAAAGGACATCGATTTTCATCGGAGTTCATGGAAATTTGCGTCGCATCACCATATCATAATTAAAAGCACCGTCCACCCAGATTCTCGACTTCCAGGCTTCCAGGTTTTCGTCGTTTCAAGGCCTTCTCATGTCTCTGATTCCAAATATGAGGTCGAGAATCCGCGAAAACCCCTACAATCCCCATTCCGGAGAATCTCCGGCCGGCTTTTTACAACGGTGATTGGATGAGCGCGCACGAATGGGCGGGCATGGATTGGAGGGGCGGGCATGCATGAGGGTCCTCGTGCATATTCGCTATTTTGAAGGGATATTCTCGCTTCCGAAGCGGCATATCGCGCCGCGACTTGGGCATTGGCTTGATAGGAGGCCCTACTGTTATATGCTGTCAAAATCTCAACACCGTCAACTTAGGGTGGACGGTGCCTTCAAGACTGGAGAATTTTGAATCCAAGAGCACCGTTCGACTTAGCTCGATCAGGCGCATATTTTGATATATAGGAAGTGTCCGTATGGATACGGTACGTTTACGGTAGGCGTTCAGATTTCAAGGATCTTTTTGGATTGGTGCTTACGTTAAGTTATCCAGCGTGCTCATTCAAGGTAGCCTGGTAGCCTACCGTAAGCAAAGCTCTACGAAGTCCAACCACCTACCGTATTCAGACCGGCATTCCTAATCAACCGACTACATGACCCCAAGTAAAATAAGAATCAGCATGATTTGTCAATTGAAGCGCGATTAGCGTTTTTTGTGATGAAAACTACCACTACCTCTCCATTCAGATTTGCTGCAGTTGTGACAAAAAATACTCTGCTAAAGATTTTTGGATTGTGCATTTGTTCGCGAATGAGAAAATGAACTAACGTCCGCGTATTTTTAGACTGAAGGAAACCGATCCAGAATTTTACAAATTTCTCCAAGAGCAGGATGCTGACCTTCTGGAATTCCATGCATCTGATGAAGAGGAAGAGGAAGCTGAAGATGAGGAAGAAATAGATGACGAAATGGAACTTGATCAAGAGAAGGAAGTGGGAAAGAAACGTTGGTTTATGATAATACTATATCATCAACACTTTTCCATTGTGAATTTCCAGCGGCTAAAGAATCGCGTATACCGAAAGCAAAGAAGGATAGTAGTGGACGATTAGTGTTTGATGGTATGATGCTGAATTATCTGGAAAATGCGATAGATTCTGAAGATGAGGTTGTTATCAGTTTTCATCTTTTGCATCTTCTCCGCAAAAAACAAAAACGTTAGGGCTGATTTAGAAGCAGCGTATCAACATAGAAGATATCCGTCTTGGCGTTGAAGCTTTCAATGCTTGCGTTGCTCGAGTAGGAGCCGATGTTGACGCACCAAAGTATATTATCAATGAGCAGGTAAAATTATCTGTTTGGTATGGTTGACTGCACGGAATCGACTGGCCTAAACGCCCGCGAGCGTGTCTTTTGCGGGCTAACATTCGCATTCGCGCGCATGAGTCATTATAGCGCCAGTACGCCGCGTTGCAGGCACGCTCGCGTGCATTCAATCTACAGCGACTCGGGCAAATTAGTGCAGTCGACTTTATCCTAGTAAGTTGCATTATAGCACCAAAATTATCGAAAACGCTGCTTAATTTTCCAAAAAATTCCTTGAATTTGAGAAAATCGAGGAGAGCGAAATATGCCTTCATGGGTAAACTGAAAAATTTATTGGCGCCACATCACAGCAATAGAAGCTGATAAAGGTAAATAGTATACTTAAGATTTTCTCTTAAAATGGGGTCGCAAGCAATGTTAAGGTCCAGTAGAGTTTATTTTTTAACAAAATTTTCGTGCTTCTAGAGTGTTATAGCTTGATCTACTTGTTTCTTGATTTTTTTTTACTTTCTTTGTTGAAAAAAAAACCCTGCTTTCATACATAGTCATCTCATATATGCTACGCACTAATTACAATACCGCTCACATTTTTTGAAAAATAGACGCGAATTTATGGACATGTCTGGACATGTACGGACATGTCGCTACATGTATGGACATGTAGCGACATGTCCGTACATGTCCATACATGTCCATACATTCGCGTCTATTTTTCAAAAAATGTGAGCGGTATTGTACGTGCAGTGAGTAGTGAGTAATCTACCGTATTCCTCTAAATTTTCTCTCATTGAAACGATTTTTGCAATATCTGTGAAAGCCTGATATTTTATCTAGCTGAAAGGATGGCATGGTAGACATCTTGAAAAAACACCTTACTCTGAATTCAGGCAGTTTTCTACGCCACTGTTCGTTTATGCTTCGAAAAACTCGGAGATGCTTTCAAAATGCTCATAACCGGAAAGGTGAGTGCTGCTCAGTTCAAAATTGGTTTCAAAGCAGAATCAGCATTTTTATGTTCAAATGACGCTTGCATTTATTACAGAACAAAGTCAAAGTCGAACCAGGTATCGAACCCGATGAAGAATTTTTGTCGAGGCTAAAGCACATCAAAAAATACCAAACGCCGCTCAAGCAGTACCTTGCTAGCTTGTTAATTGTACGTCTTCTGGTAAATACCGAAAGAAAAACAGCTCACTGTTTGTTTTAGTTTGCGAATGAAGTCCAAACCCCTGATGTCATTGTGTCAACACTGAAAGCCATTCGTCATATAGTCGATCTGTATGCACATTTTAAGAAGATTACGAAAAACTTATCCAAGGTAACTTTCCCTGAAGTTCAAGCCTTCAACTTGTCCCATTTGTTTTTTAGGTACTCGTGAGGATATGGTCAAGAAAAACGTTAGAATGTCGGGTAGGAGCTTATGTATGTATGACCCAGTTGGTAAAATCTCACCCGGAACACTTTGTTAGTCTATACAAGGTACATTACATTAATTGAATTTTCAAAAACGGTCTCCCTTTGTAGTTGGCATTTTTCGTCATACTTGGTGTAACTCAAGGATAACTCGCATGTTTCTGGACCATTAATTTAATATTTTCAGAGTTGCTACCTTGGCTTTGTCTCCAATTCCCGTGAGGTCACATCGGAAACCTGGCCCATTTTACATTTCATGCACAAGTTAGTTTTTTTATTGCTTGCCATCTGAGCCCCTTGCAAATCTCGAAAAGAAGAAGACGGGGAAAGTTGGAAGGATCTTGAGCTACCCATCTTTGTGCTGATTATTTATGGGCTTTTGAATGAAGTTTCTGAATAAATAGTAATTTTTTAATTGGTATCAGAATCATGTCCTTTGGGTGAAATGCTTATGGATGGGAAAATAGCTATCAGGTAAAAGGCAAAGCAGAAATTGTAAAGGACTTGCGACCTAAGCTCGGGAAAGGAGAATCTGCATAGAAAGTAAAAGGGTTTTCTTTTCTACTTGAAGAAGCAATACGGAAAACATAAGAAAATATAAAAAAAAGACCAAACTCAGGATCCAATTCCGTGTCGTGTTTTTGAGCGCATCCAGGAAATCGTTATATCGATTACAAGATTACCGCTTTGTGTTACAATAGCTAAATGCCATTGGGACATTGTCGAAAAGTTGAAAATAGAACTTTAGTTTTAGGATTTATACATCGGCTCAAAAGCTCAGCACGAAAGCTTCTTTTGGGATGCTGTAGCAAACAAACGTATCTGTGCCTTTTTCTGATATCATCTCTCTCTCTTTTTTCACACTATGGCTATGACTGAGAAAGGAATAACATTGAAATGCCCTTTACATAATTCCAGAACATTTGCTGAACTGACCGTTCTACATCCAAACCTTGCCTATCCCTACGCGTTCGTTTATATCCGACAGATTGCCATCCATCTGAGGAATGCCATTATCTCGAAGAAGCGAAAGGTAAGAAAAAGCCTGCAAACAGCACATCTTTATGCAAATATCCAGGACATGGTCCGTACCATCTATAATTGGCAAATGATGCAATGTCTCTATCTGTGGGCACGTGTGATATCAAAAGCGCATGCCGTACACGATTGTGAAGCCATCTGTGAATTGACATATCCACTCACGCAACTTGTTCATGGAGTGCTGAAGTAGGGCGACTTATACAGTGCTATTCTACATTCTTTTTTTTTACTTAGAAATTGAATTATTTTTCCAGACTATACCACTCGCTCCGGTATATACCTCTTAGACTACATTGTATATCGATACTAATCCAACTGCAGGCTAATTGTGGAGTTTACATTCCTACACTGACATTGGCGATTGAGGTAACCTGACTACGCATCATAACATACCATTTTTCTGGACTACCATGTTATTTCGAACCTTTTCATTATCTTCAAGCATCACATACAATCCCGCTCTTATGAAAATCATCTCCTTAGGCCCAGAAACTTGCTATCTCGCTTCCTACTTAAGTAAAAATGATCTAAGCGTGGGTAGGCTCATGGAGTACGAATGTGTCCAAAAGTGAATTTCCGACAACATTTATTCCAGTAAATGCTTAATGCTTGTTAAACAACGTATGAATAGCTGTGTAGCATTGAGTAAAGCTTGGGCCGTGACCCAGTAACAATCCCCTACATCAGTTTTGACATTATTATCTTTTTCGACTTCCATTTATGTTATTCTCTTGCAGCTCCTGAACGATGTTGTCCTGATACTAGCAAAGAAGCCAAAGACGAGTAAAAATGCAAAAATTGTTGATATGGAGTCTTCTCTCAAGGTTTGTTCTGGCAACAATGAGCACGAGCCAAAAGAAATTTCGTTCAGGTCGCAGCGCTGACGTTAGAGGAGAGCTCTTGGCGAACAGCACTTTGTGACTACATCTTCAGAATTACTCTTCAGGTATCACGTGTCTTAAAGACTTTGAAAGTTCTGAAACATTTCTACAAAAGAAGTCAAAGATACTTTAAACTAAAAATTCGCTCCCTTTCTAAATCGCCGAAAATTTCGTTGCTTCCCTCAAAACCGTCCTTTTTCAATGTGTTTACTCCTAATGCAAATAATATGACAATTAGGAATTCTTCCTAAAATGAGATTGTGACACCAAATCGTTTTTATCAGCAAAAAAGTAAAGTGTTAGACATATTATGGCACAAAGATCAAAGCATTTAGATTAGCGAATTGATTTGCTCTTTTCACTTCTGTTTTTAAAGAGTTTTTCACGATAAGTTGTAAAAATTTTCACTCCGAAAATGATTGTTAAATCCACTACATGCTTTTTAATAACAGATCTAAATCAACTTTTCATGTTGTTGTTGCGGACTATGTGTAATGTGTCCTATCCGTTGTTTGCTGCCTTGCAACAGTCTCTGTCAAAATACAAAACTTTGAATCGATACATTTTGTGGAGTCAAGTGCATAGATTCTCATCAAGTTAAAATTTACCGAATAAAAATCAATGATCGGTTATGAGCCTCTACTACTGTTTTTCGAAAAATAATCCAACAAGAACTAAAAAAACTTTCAACACTAAGAGACAATATTCGGTAATCGTAGCACAATGCAGTACGACTGACAAAAAAATTTTAACAGCAGTGCTCTAGCTCGGACTTTTGATATCTGAAAAATTCAATACTTCGTTGCATCAAACTCTAACTAGCGCGGTGTGCCATTTCAAACATCATCGATTAGGTTATACATAAAGTACACAAACTTTGATTTTGAAACGTTAATCTGACAAGCAACCCAACTAATCTGGTCACTTTATTTATTTTAGGCAACACATCTGATTTGCAGTCAACCGAGTTTCCCTGACGTCATAGTTCCGGTAACATTCAGGGTGAGTCAGAATAACGGATGAATTTTTTTCACTTGAAAATGTTTTGAAGGTGTCGCTTGGCTGAAAATGTTCTTTATTTGATAGCACAACTTCTATTGGTTACATTTATCGAATGAATCTTTGTTAAATTCCAGAGGCCTTCTTCTTATAAGTATGGCTGTAAATTAATTTAATTTCCGAGAAGCAAATATTGAGAGAACATTTCCACAAAACGATTTCTCTAAAAAAAAAACAGTTCCTCTGTTCTCTTGAACGAAATACAAATTTACGTGTCGCGCCACTAGGAGGGCTAATCTATTTATAGTTTGTGAGTTGTCCGAACACTCACAGACTATAAATATTTACTTGAAAAACCCATTTTCGCCTAGTAGACCAGAAATCAGGCTGCTAGAAAAGGTAAATAGGCAGGCAACTTGACCCTTGTCCTTCTTCAGATTCGAAATTTCCTTCGGAAGATTCGTTCTGTCGAGTTCGCACGATGTTTCCGAGCTTTGTTAGAAAAGATGGAAGAACAAGCCAAGTTTGTTGCGGATATTATTTTGACCAAGGAGTTCAGTATCAAAGATGATATGCAAGTGGTATGTTTATGTGTATCGAAGTCGAAAAATGTGAAGTATTGATTTTTTTGACATTTTTTGAGTTCAGATGTCCCTAAAATTAGCGCTGAACAACCCTGACTCTCCCCTTCGCACCTATTATAGACAGTGGGAAAAAGCATGGCGGATGAAGCAGAGGCTCCTCTTGAAGGTGAGAGTGCTGGCCGCGTCTGGCTTGACTAATTTGTGAGTTTAGGCTGAGACAAAGGAGAAGACTAAGCAACCAAAGGAGTCTAAAAAGAAGAAGGATGAGAAAAAGCCGAAGAAAGAGGAAGAGGTGGGTTATGACGCAGTTGTAAAATATTCAAAGAGAAGGCGTTGCAAATTTCTCGTTTTCAACGGATGCGAACGGAGCGAGTTCCATTCTTTCACTCCCTTAACTTCTTCTTGGAAAAGTGTGAGCTCCAATTCTATAATATCCTTTCATTTTAAGGATATCAAAATGGAACAAAAACCGAAGAAGAAGCGAAGACTGAGCCAGCCAGCTGCTGCACATGCTGATCCCACGGTCCCAGACCAACTTGGAGATTTAGACAATTGGAGCGATAGTGAATAACCTCAAATTTTGTTATTGTAAATCATTGTTACTGCGTGTAGAAACAATATCGTTGCCTTTCATATAGAAAAGTAGCTTGTTTTGTTAATTCTTATTTAGGTCATTGACTCTAACAAAAATTCTTAGAATTTCAGAGTTATTGTTGTTGTTGCTGTTGTTCGATGTTGTATGTTGTTATAGTCTTCTTCTAACCTGTTCTTTTATGACATATAATCAATGGTTCTATATAAATTTCAGGATTTTTTTACTTGCAGTTTTTAATCTCAGCTGTAGTTCAAACTAAAATGTAAAAGAAAACTTTAGCTGCGCTCTTTATCATGATCTTCTAGAAGTGAGATGGAAGATGCAAAACCAATTGTTTGAACATCATAGATTAGCGGCTGTTTTTGCTATATTCGAGAGGAAGCCGCTCCTATGTGTGCAATAGAGGAATATGGATGTGCAAAGGAAGAAGATGAGCTCTAACAACTCAGTGTGCATCACCTTGAAGAAAACTTTGAGTGCATAGATAAAATGTAACCAAAAATCCAGTGTAATTTCACGAGTACAAGACGCACTTTTTTGGCTTAACTCGTCCAGCCGAAGCAGACGAACATTTTTAGCGACCAAATGACCCTCTACCGAGCTACTTCCCACCTGAAAGTATTGTGTAGAGAAGCAATCATTTTGCGAGGCGCAGTGGTTTCGGCCAAGCAGCTTGTTTGAGAAAAAATGGGAAAAAGGTATGTTTGTCTCGTTGAATAAGGGCACTCTAAAATTCACATTGTAAGCGTCTCCGTACATGAATCCGCCCTTGATAGATAATCAAAGCCCATTTCTGCTACACTTTTAAAAACGAACTTGTCTGCTACAGTTATCTGTTATGGGACTTTCTTGAAAGTCTTGAAAGCAGTGTTATATGCCAAAGTTTGGAGCAAATTTCGAACTGTACTGTAACTCTGGTCAATAATACACTTCTGTTTCCTCACCTCACGAATATTTCAGATTTTTTGGGAGCATGCGCAGGATCTCACCATCCCTCTTATATTTTCAACTCCTTTATCTCCCTGTAGATCTGTTGTGAATGCATCGCATGCAGAAACATCCGCAATTAGTCTTTTCCAGCTAGCCATAAAGTGCCCTTCAACATGGATATCTCGCTTTCAATAGGGCGCCGATTAAATACAACAGGGCTGTATGCGTGTGTCACTTTAATCCCTTTTCACATCCCATTCAAACCAGAAGTCGTTTGCCCATTCTAATGGATTGGCTGGGCCACCATAGTTACATGGCGTATACATTGCAATTACCTTGGTTACAGGTGTAAAAAAGTGCCTCCACATCAGAATAAATGCAATGTACAAAAAATTGGGTACGTGCTATCTTATACAGGAACTGTTCGGAGAACGTTAAACAAGCCATTGCTTAGAGGCTGCTGTTCATAAAAATTTACTCGTGGCCTAGAAATCCAAGTTCAAAGTGAGGTCCAGACCGTGCTCTCATACTCGAACCAATGATTGGTCTGCTTGGACAGATTACGGTGTGGTTTGGAGTTCAGAGTTGGATTTCCTTTCAGCGAAGGACTCCTGAGAGCTGAGGCTCGGGCAATTAATTAGATTGAGGGCTCTCATTCAGAATACGAAAAATTCGGCCATTATCATTGCCTGAACTACAACATTTCTGTTTTCTCCTTAGCCATTCCCCTACAATGGAAATTATAGAAACCTCTGGAGAAATACACCCCTTACTCCTAGAGAACTGTTCTACGATATCGAAATGGGGCAAAAACTGGTATCAGCCACATTTCTGCTGGGCACACCCATGTGCAACATACTTTGGTTGCACTTTCGCAAAAAGAGAGCGTTCGGAATTGATCTTTTTGTAACTGTGTACTAACAAGTGCCACGAATATTCTCGAGAGTTCTATAAGAATGGAATGTAAAGATTTCTCTTGATGACAAATTTTCTCTCCAACGTGCAACCCTTTTAAAAAGGAACTCATGCTCTCTTACTCTTACTAATATACTACAGTAGATAAATCTCCAAATATACCATTAGCCACGTATAATTCAAAAAGAGTGCTGAAAAACACATACAATTACTAGAAATGACTTTATTTACAGAAAAAGCACTTCTGTAAATACGAAATTACATGACCAGTACATCTACATCTTCCAGAAAAGAAGTTTGTGATACATATACGACTAATATGACGCTACAACGACACCAGTTACGATCAATGACAAATATATATTTACGAATTAATATTAGAAGAACCAGCCGTGCAATTCCATTAGCTCATAGAACGAGCGGAGCACATACAAGGAGGAAAGAGACAATCAAAGGCGCTAGTAAATACAAACCAAACTCAAAAGATGCTACCGACTACGAGGGGGAAACTAGCGTAGGATACCAGATGTGGACAGAATTCAGCGATCAGGATATCAGCCTGAAAAAACAAAGGTTAGAAATAACGCCGGTGATTTGACTTCAAAATCGCACGCGCTATCTTTTTTTCTCGTAAAAAGGTAAAGGCAAAAGGAAGCAAATGACATGCTATCAAAACATGAAACTTTTTACTTATTCTTTTTAGAGGCGCGAAAACTGCAGGCTATAGAACAAGGATCTATAAAACACCAAAAAAATTGCTGACGGAGGCACCATAAATAAACGCTACAATGTGTGTTATTTGTCACGAAACGTGGCAGAAACAAGTTTAGAATCACTTTCACATTACAGCTGACGCTATAACTCTCTATGACGTAAACCAATAGCTTTGATTGGTTAGGACCATAGTAAATCACTGAAAGCGCATAAAATAAGCCCCTTCCAGAAACCCAAGAAACTTTCAAGTGTTCCAGTAAGAAGTAAACGCTAAGGTCAAAATGAGTCAGGAAGGCAGTGCGCAATATCCGGAAATATGTTTGCCCGCGCATAAAAAGTAACACGTTGGAGGCAAGATTTGCATTACGGAAAATCACAAAAAGACATACTTGCGGGTATAATACGGAGAAAAATTGCAGATGACTTGCAACTACAGCCCCTTGAGTACACATTGGAAAGTCGGCTCAAAACAGAATCGCCAAAAAAAACACATACCTTTACTCGTTATTCGCTCGAAAAAAGCCTCCGAAACCTCGGCGGCGCTTTGGAATACTCGACTCGGCTTCCTCTTCACTTATTTCGCGAATTACCGGACCAGAATAGCCATTACTATGTCGACTTGTCCCAGCATTCGATCTTCCACGTTCCCTATATAACCTCTTCGAAGACTGCACGGAAGGAAAAGAAAAACAAATCATACCTATTGTCATCGTCTTCCTCATCATCCGGCAATGTTATGATTGGTGCATTGTCCCCTGTTCTCGGTCGTCCAGCAACATCTGCTGAGCGATGACGGTATGATGACGAAGCACCATCATCTAGCGCACGTCTGGCACTGCTGAATTATGGAAATGCAGAGTGTTTACTTTGATTTTGGAAATCAAAAATGATCTCCGAAAAAATTACCTTGGGGTATACCCCATGTTTGCTCTAGCTCTCGATTGGAATTCGCGATCGAAGTCTTCTGCAGCAGCTAAAATACAAAAGATTCTGATAAGTGTATATTGATCGGTGCTGACGACAAGATGAGAAAGCTCTCCAGCAATCAAGTTGACGACGCCAAAATGAAACAACAATTACCTAGCAGTTTTCGATCTTCAACTCCACTCCCTAGTCGTAATTTACATTTTTTTATTCTTCTTACCCTACACAGATACATCAGTCTCTTTCCACTTCAAAACTCAATCTGACTTCTTCATCCCCTCCTTCTTTGCGTTTAGAAGTCAAGTCTTGAGTGGCATAAAACTAGCGAAAAGTTGTACAAAAACACCTAAAAATGGTGAATCAACCTCTCAAGTATATTGATTACAAACAAGGAATACGGTCAGCGGAAATCCGCGTATGTGTTTTTGTACAACTTTTCGACGCTCATAACTTCTTTCGGAGATTTCTTCTGCGGGAAAAAACAGAAGGAATCAGCGTCTGAAAGCGCGTTTACTATAGTGCATCTCTTTTTGGTTTGCTAGAGGTCAAGTCAAACTGGTATCGTTCTTCCCTTGTCAATACATATCTCAGGCAGTGTAAAGCCTCGCTTCAACATAATGAGCATACGCCATCTTACACGTGAACGATTACTCAGGAGTCTCCAGACATTCTACATTTCATCAGATGAGCGCTTCAAATTTGACATTGGCTCCAATCATTGACTCTCGTTTCTTTTCAGTTTTAGCTTTACAGAAGAATATGAACTACCCACTTATATGAAAAAATTCGACAAAATACAAGAATTGGGCTGCCCCTAACTCAGCCATGTGTTCAAAAATATCCCGGGTTCTAATCACATTACAGCGCGATGCTTTCAGCACCTGCGCTCCCATGACTTGACCTCATAAGTCTAGATTTTTTTGAGAAACAGATGAGTGTGCAAATCGATGGACTGATTCTTATCAGCAGTTTACGAGGCAACACGCACAATCTCGATAGTCAACAAAATGAACTACCCCAAAAAATCGAGGGTAGATTACTAATAAGCTGTACATCCCAATAAGTATCAAACATCACTAATTATATTCACGACAACTAGCAAGAACTCGGCACCAGCTCACTCCATGCCAAATGCTTCATTAACGATTCCAAAATTTCGTTTCTTTCCAGGAGAAGACCGACCAGATGATCGAAATCGCGATTCGCACAAACGTCAGCGTCCCAGACAGATGCAAAAACAGAAAGCGCGAGCTTCACCTGAGACTAGCAACGCGCTCAAAGACTATGCAAACGAAAACATCGCATCACAGGGTGTGTCGCTTACTCACATCTGCCGTTGTCAGCAGCAGACAATGGCTCTTCCGGTCGACTATTCTGTCCTAGGTATGGCATGCTCAGCATAAGATATGATGATGAACCCCGCAACACATGCTCGCAAAATGTAAGCGTTGCTTTTATTACCAATCCCTCAACGACCATGCTGGTTTAGCTCCCCAAACAAGCTTAATGGCAGCGCTTTTATAGCGCAGAGAAGCATCATCTAAAATAAATGAAAAGATGATGCTTTTGCCAGTGCATCAGCGATGCGACAACATTTAAATATCGCGATGACTATGCAAACAAAATGTAACAGCAAAATGTCGCTTACATTCGTCCAAATTTACAAATTTCTGCTGACGACGAACATTGCCGTCCTTGTCTCTTTTCTTTTCTATTATATGGGTCCGGTCACCAATAGAATGACCAATGGCCATCTCTTCTCTCTGACCATCACGGACAGCTCTGCAACAAAGAAAAGACTATAAGAAGACGGAACTGGGATGGAGGCATTAACCTCCTCGTCTCCTTCACGTCTCCACTTTTTCGCACAGAATTTTCCACTACTCGAGGTTGGCCATCCTCACCAAATGTTACCATTGTCGACTGTGTGTACACTTGCGAGTGAGGATCGTTCATTGCCCGTTGTTGCAGATCTTCCTAAAAATAAAAGCCCAGTCTACGCCACGTGTCCTATAACGGTTAATATTCAGCAACAGCAAGATGTTAGGGTATTTTCTTAGAGATAAGAATAAACTGCGTAGCACAGCAAATATGATATCGCTTCGCGTTATCTTACCCGAAATGGATGTAACGGATAAGGCATAGGTGATCTCTAAAGTAATTTTAGCCCTAAGAAGGCAAGAAATATGTGAAGAAATGACGACAAAATAAAATGAAGACTACTAAGTGCTAGTGATATGATGTCTCACCCTTCGATATGGAGGGTATAGAGGTGGTGGTGGTAATGGGGGTCCCTAAAGTTTTGAACAAAATGATAGAGAATGTTTCTTGAAACTAACTTGTCCCGAAGAAACAGAGAGGGAGAAAAGAAACATAGTGTTGTAGAACATACCATTGCTGAAAATATTCCTCCGATACCACCGAAAGGATCGAACGGTCGAGCAAGCATGCGGTGTGATGGAGGTACACTTTGTCGCCCATAAGGACCCTGAAAGATAAAATATCATCAATCCAAATACCATAAGAACGAATTCTATGTCTGCGGAAGTGTCAATAAAAACTGAAACAATTAAGTGTGCAATGAATACGATACCTCAATCATGCCCATTCCAGGCATTCCACCCATCATCATCCCAAACGGGTCCATCATTGCATTCATCATCCTATCCATTTCTCGAAACTGACTTTGCATAGCTCTGAAATTTGGCAATCTCAAATAACGACAGAAGCAGATATCGAATCAATCACGACTGGAATTTAGTTAGGCAAAGCAGATGAGGAGGATATACCTATGCATTCCTCCAAAGCCAAATAGGTCATCGTCGTCGAACATCTCTGCCTAGCAGGACTAGCTACCTCAAACAAGTCTGACAAATGTATAACAACAGAACAAAATACATGGAAAAAAGGGGCAAAAAAGAACAATTTGTTTCAAAAAGAAAAAGCGAAATTTCAAGCACCAAATACTAATAACTATCGCTCATATTGGACGAAACATGGAGGATATAAATACAAAAAGCAATCACGATTTAAAGATCCGAATCGACTGTGGCCATTAGCAAATTCCAAGAAGAACAATAGCGAAACCTTTGACTGATTGTTGCCACTGAATATATTCTTTTCGAGACGCGGTATGCACATGTACTGCCATTCCGTATGATTTGTTTTCAATAGTTCCGACACTCCTGTTTTTTCTATTCACTAAAGCCTCTTAAAGTGCATATACGCACCTGGTATTTCAAAAAGGCATTTCGTAACAGACCCAACCAACATTGAATTTTGCACTATATTTCCGACTGCAAGCCGGTTTTATAGCAAGGAAAAGTCGTACATAAAGTTTCCAAAAGGCACGAGAAATAAGACACATGGAATTATCGATCAAATAGCTACTAGGTTATGGCCAGCAAACGCAGCAAGCTAGCGGAGATAAGGATGAAGCACGCTTTTTTCATACACACTAAAACAGAACAAAGTGCTTCAAAAGGTATGCAAGACTGAGGATGTGGGCGGCATGGATGGATCCGTGGTAAAAAAGTAGTAATTTGTGCAAAGATAATGTTTGAGTTCTCTTAAAAACATGGCAGTGGGCACGGGGTTTTTAAGTGGAAAACGTAGAATGCGTTGAATAACCCAATCATAACTACAGCAAAATCAAAAGTGTATTTGTATTCTACAAACTGAAGGAATGCAACAAAAAAAAGTGCGCAGACGCACCGAAAAAACATTCTTCAATCGGAGGACAACAGAGAATCGCAGGTCGATGAGAGCGCCTCGCTTTCTGCAACAAAATGGGGCTATGTTCGCCACAGTGGTTCCATCTAGATCAGAAAAACATTTGTGAGATTGCCTGAGATAGGCGGTTTCCAGTTTTGACCAGTTGTATCTCAAGTTTGGAAAAATACTTAATACAAAAAACTAATAATGAGTAAAAATCCTGTAGACATTTGGACGCATTTGTCGCACGCAGTATGCATTGTTATTATATTGGTGCAATTCTCTCAATGAACAAGTTTTTGAAGCACGGCATTGAGTGCATTAGATTTCAGATGATCTTTGATTCTTACAAATTATTCGCAGCAACGTCAACACAAAATAATGAAGTCTGGTTCAAAGCAGATGGAGCGCTGGAAAACCAGCAATTTCCAGTATAGAGCGGTCGTCTGAACAGATGCTACCAACTACCGCAACTAAAAAAGCTCTAATGGAAAACTATCCGCTGAATCGGGTGACGTCTTGGACTTGCGAAACGACATCATCGAATTTTAGTGAGTGACACAAAAATCAGCAAAATATAGCTAAATCTGCAAAAACGAGGTTCACCTAAATTCAATTGATTCTTTGTTGTGACAACACCTTGCCTTACAACCACGGTAGGGCTAGATAATCGATCAAACAGTAAACTTCACCACAAAGGTTACTTTGAAAACGGATTGTTAATAATTGGTAAGTTAAGTGTACTACTCCCCATTAGTCGACTCAGAAACACAACATCTTGGATTGCTGAAAATCTACCTGCAGCGGTTTTGCCGCGCTGAACACAAAATATTTATTCCGCATGATAATGGTAATCTTCCGCGTTACGGTGGGTACAGGTCAGAATCGAAAGTATCCTCAGATATTTGTCAGCGAAAGGAAGGGGACTCTTCAGCACGCTAGCTACGGTAGCCGCTAGACTAACCGATTGCCTGCTTCAGCAGGAAGCTGCCCAACTAGTAAGCTGATGTCATTAGGCGTCATGTTGGAGGGAATTCGATGTGGCGTTTACTCACTACTACAGTAATTTTGAAGAGATCGTAAAAAAGCCTCGCAGAATGATAGAAAGGCCTTACCAGTGAAAAAAATTTTGTTGTAATGAATAGCGCACGCTGACTTGATTTTCCTACAACTTGACATCAAATGACCGTGAATGCGCCGCGTCCTGTTGAAGCAGGCAATCGGTTAGTCTGGCGCCTACCTAAGGCTGCGTTCATACTGATCCCGAAGTCCGGGACAGTTTCAGCACAACGCTCACTTCAAGCATTGTGCTGGAACTGTTCCCATACTTCCGGATCAGTATGAACGCAACCTAAGATTGTAAAATCGGTTGCACGTTTGCGCCCATCTTCTGTGCGAAAGTTTATAGGCGACATACCGTATGCCCGAAACTTCGCAAAAGCTCTTTTTTGGGCAACAGCATGGAGACCTCTCCAAACAAAGTTTAGCGCAAAATTAATCTTGACCCACTTCCAATACACTGCACTCAGCAGTTCTTTTTTAGAGAAAATGGCGCCTAGCGAAATCGTTCGTGAACAATGTGCCAGACAGCCCCCCCCCCCCCCCTTACCCATGCGTTCTAACAAGATTAAAATTTTTAATTCTTGAATCAACCGATGTGGGGCGCCCAGCCACATCAAGGTTCTAATCAAAGTTTCCGCAGATACTAAAATGTGAAGTTCTAGGGTTCTCAGCGGCAACCAGTGAGTATAATTTCATTAGATATCGGCAAACATCATGTAAGATTACCGCTGGGCAAAGTTTGTGCAGCAGTATTCAAAGATCAATGTCACGCAGAGATTTCGTAACAAGAAGAGATGAACTAATTGAACTGACCAAACCAGATCAGACAAATCTGTTGCAACACTCTATATTATCTGATTAAAGCTCATACGACGAAAACCAGAGTGTAAATAGACCAGAAAAAAACGCTGTAAATGCAAGTGAATGATTAAGTAAACGGAAGAAGAGCCCCTCGGTTTTTACCATTCCCCAGGCAGAACATACCTTTAAACAAAAAGATTACATTCGACAGATCATTACGTATCAAGGAATCGAAAACAACCGCGTATCTGGGCATGACTGGAACTAAATGGATGCAAAACCGAAAATGCCCTGATGCAAAAAGTCGCAAGTGAAAAAAAAGCAAAAGAGTTCCATTCTTCCCGTATATCGCATTCAGGAAAAATAGAAATAGAGCACCTTCTAAAGCTTGCCGTGAATCAAACCCATAAAAAGTTAGGCGTGGATTCTTCTAGAAGGCTGTCAACTCACATTTCTTATCAACACTCAAGCGAATCGGTGATAGTGACAGTGTTAACGATAACAAGCGTTTTTCACAAAAAAAGAACGAGAGGTAGCGGAAATAAGCGAGAAAATATTTACGAAACATCCAAGACAACACAACAACTCTTAAAATAGCAATCTGCAAGACAATTATGGCTAAAACAAGCCATGTGCGCAAAAACGCTGCCACTTCCTCAGTGCAACGAAAGCAAAGTGCGGAGCCGCTCAGCTGATATCGACGTCAACATTTCAAGAATATTCCTACAGAAATCGATTGTTCGTCTGAGGACCCGTGCATGTGTTAGACCATGCGAAACTCGTCCAGATTTGATTCTGCAGATATTTTCTTTTCCAGGCGTTCGTTCCCTCTTTGTAACACCGTTATAGTAAACTTCAAGGACTTTGCAAGGAAATTCTATGTAGAAAAGGATCTAGGCAGTTTGATAGTAATCTCTGCCGACATTTTCTACGAGGAAAAAACATTGTCGAAGATCGATAATTTCGTTTCTAACGACGATGTTGTAGCAGCTGATAGGTCTCTAAATGCGTGTCAACTATTCCGTATTAAAACTACTTGGAACAGTACCGGGCATTTTTCGGACAAAGTCCCCGCTTAGATATGGGTCTTGCCGACTGTAAGTGGATCTTCCTAATTTCGTAACTTGGTGTATTTATAATCTCTGTGATCTTTGATTCTGCTCGCTGTATCTGAAAATAGACCTCGCTGTTTCGAAATATCACGGTACGTAAACAAATCTCTATGGCTTGTGATGTGATATCTTCTTTCTGCGGGCTTACTATCGTGGCTTTTACCTGCTTTCTGTCTACTTGAACTATTGCAAACCACGACTGAAGAGTTGTGCCGAGCATTTTCAGAGTGTTTTTCTGCCATAAAAGCTGATATACAATCATTTTGGGTGCTGAATGAGTGCGATTGATGACATAGACTAACCAAGACTGCCAGGAATTGAAATTATTGTTTACATAGCGAGGGCAGGTTTACTCTGCTTTTTTCGAAAGAATTATCTCTTTGTGCCTGTGAAGCCTTTAAGGTACAACTCACGAAGAAGAACATAATACTTGAGTCTGTGCGAAATTCTGGACTGGAGACCTCTCAAACAGGGCTTGGCACAAATCGTCTGGGGAAGCGGCGGTGGACTTTGTCTTCGGGGCGAAAAAGTAAAGGGGGGGGGGTGTCTTTTTTGCGAGTCCGAAAAAACAGAAAAACTAGGTTTTCCGAAGTTTCCGTTAAGTGTAAAAGGGGACTTCGTAAAATTTCGCGAAAGGCAGGGAGAACTTCGTTATCAAAAAGCTTAGAAATGAACCCGTGCCGGGACCTGTTCCCAAGCTCTGAAATCGCGCCCAAAATATCACCAGTTGAGGTTAGTCCGAACCAGTAGGTTAGATAATATTCTCCCAGTTGGAGTATATGACTGCTTTCAGAGGACTATATTCGGGCAAAGTTTTGGTATCTGGGCCACCTAAGTGGGAAGCATCAGAAGCCCTAGGCCCCATTTAAATCTACATAGTCGGCTGCGCGGGCGGTCGCGTCGCGCGCACAGTTTTGTCACCAGGTCACGCTTGCTAGGTCTCATCATTTTCGACCACTAGATAGCAAATGACACTTATGTCAGACCATTTCATGCGTTTTTCGAAAATTTCACGCCAACAATGTGAATTGTTCTTATATTTGACACTTCACCTTGAAGAGTGTGAAGGGTTCATATATTTGTGCAAGCAAGCTCGAATGATGGTTGTTGTGCCGACATTGTCGGCACTTCCTCACAGCTGTGCCATTCCTCGCCAGATTACCGTAAAGGTCATGCCATAAGCATGACCTGCTGTGCTATGAGTGTGTTTAATGCCCAGATGAGCGTCGACTTACTGCTCCGCCTGTAATCCTCAGTATTCTACCACTGTCCCAATGCGGACAAGTCGTCTGACTCAATAAATCTGCCAGGCTAGTGTATTGTCCACACCTGCAGATATTCCTTCCAAGGCGACAACTACGCCTAAGGCTACGTCAACGTACGTCAGCCAGTACATTTGTGACCGAGCTCTCGGCCGGCATTTGTGTGCTCTTCTGTTCTTGTTTTCTTTTGATAGTTATTTGCTCGACTAAGGCTAGGCGTGCCACTGGGATCGCGTAAATAGCGTGTTTGCAGAAACAAGAGTGGATGTTTGGTACTATGTCCATAGCTTTCGAGAGCTACGCTATCACAGATGAACTTTTTTCATGTCAAAACCATAGGAGGAAAAACTAATCTTGGTATTTTTCCGTCTTAAGTAAGCTTCTTTGGTCGTGTTAGCGTTGCTCAGGTTGCTGGAACGCTAATTTTTGATGGGGTTTGTTCTGAGTATGATTTGATACGACGTGCACATTCTTGAAGCTGGTATCACGTTTGGATCGAAAATAGGTATCATTTATTCTGAACTAGAAAAGTCGAGTACGCTTTGCACACATTGTCTCAGCAAGCCTTTATACTTTTGTTCTTCCCTAATTCAGACTAGTAAATAGATCGATCACAATTGTGAAGTTGCTAATCACACAGACTAGCTTGTTTAGATAGTGTAGCAAAGCGCGCCCGAGTCTTCTAGTCTCATTGTCAGAATAAATGGTCAACTTTTCTGTGAAATACTCAGGAACACAGTCATATGCTGCCTTAACTGATGATGATGTCTTTCAAACTCCAAATACAGTTACACAAAAAACGAGGTGAAGCGCTGCATTAACTCGTTAGTGTTATACGTATGCAAAGCATACTCATATCCAAATCTCAGAATGGACGATAGCATATCAAACATGTTCAAAAGTAATGGGCAAAGAAGGATAAACTCAGAACTGAACAAATTGTTGGCGGTGAATGCGATCGAAAACTTTCAGTGAACATCCGCTTATAAGGAAGCAGCAAAGAACTTCTTAGACCGTAAGGTTCGAATGCCTTGATCCTCTTACAATATCGCGTTAATCCACACCTCGGGTCGACTCGACACTTCTTCGTACTTGTGTTGCCTTATATGCACGTTCCGACATGGTAAATCAAATCGTCACATTCAACCCACAAACCGACAATCCTGCACGGGTTCAAGTAATCGAGAGATTAAAAGGTGATTTTAAAGAAGCAGTCGGAAAATCAAACCCAGAATAAAAAACACTCATTCCTGATTGAGTTCTATCCTGAATTGACAGTGAAATGTTCTCTCCTGAGCGCGACCTGAGCAAGCGTGACCCAAGCACACAAAGTGGCTGCGCGACGCGACCGCTCGCGCAGCCATCTATGTAGATTTAAATGGGGCCGAAGCCCTAACTATGCCCATTTGAACTGCAGCTCAAATGATTCATCCATGGAGAAGTTCGACTGCTAATTTCGTTGTACCGTAGTTACCGAGTAGACCAATAGGCCAATAGTGAAGCGGTCGTCCACTTGATCCGCTTGATACGCTTCATCCACTTCGCTGTTGATCAGTTCACTGAATTGACCATTGACGAAGCGGATCAAGTATGGTGCGTGCCTTAAGCAGGGTTCATACTGAGCCGCACAAAGCGGCACAGTTCCAGCACAGCGCTCGAACTGTGCTCGAACTGCACACGAACTGTGCTGCATGCGCAGTTGGAGTATTTTGACCGTTTCTGACGGTTTTTCTTCTAGGTTTCGCTCATTTCGGGCCTTATTCCTCCACCCCGCTTTTCCTTTTGATGAGTAGAACTCCGAGCGCAAAGCGGGGTTGAGGAATAAGCGCTGTTTTGCTTTGTGTGTCCGATTATACGTGTTGTTCCGCTCGTTCGTGTTTCTTCGTTTTATCCTTACATAAAAGTATTCCATTTGTTCCCAGGAGGCCGCTGCAATATTTTCGCAGGCATTTTTCTTGAAGAAAAGCAAAAATAGTGCAGAAGAGCAGGAACTTCCATCAATCTGTTGGCCACTATTAAGCTCCTAGCCCCTTTTCGTTTTCATTTCATTGTTTTTTCGTTCTTTGTTACCCCGCTTCCCTTATTGTTGTGTAGCGCTTCGAACTTGAAGCGGGGTAAAAGAAAGAGCGAAAAAGCAGTGAAATGGAAAAAGAACGCGGCTGAGAGGATACATGGAGCACAACCGCTTTCGTTGGTTTACCCCGCTTCAAGTTCGAAGCGCTACACAACAAAAAGGGAAGCGGGGTAACAAAGAACGAAAAAACAATGAAATGAAAACGAAAAGGGGCTAGGAGCCCAATAGTGGCCAACAGATTGATGGACTTTCCTGCTCTTCTGCACTATTTTTGCTCTTTTTCAAGAAAAATGCCTGCGAAAATATTGCAGCGGCCTCCTGGAAACAAATGGAATACTTTTATGCAAGGATAAAACGAAGACACATGAACGAGCGGAACAACACGCATCATCGAACACACAAAGCAAAACAGCGCTTATTCCTCAACCCCGCTTTGCGCTCGGAGTTCTACTCATCAAAAGGAAAAGCGGGGTAGAGGGATAAAGGCCGAAATGAGAGAAACTTAGAAGAAAAACCGTCAGAGACGGTCAAAATACTCCAACTGCGCATGCAGCACAGTTCGGGCACAGTTCGAGCACAGTTCGAGCGCTATGCTGGAACTGTGCCGCTTTGTGCGGCTCAGTATGAACCCTGCCTTAGAGACCCAAGGCTTAAAGTAGGCCAAACTTGATCCACTTCATCCGCTTAGCGATCAGATCAGGTGAATTGTTCAATAGCGGAGAGAAGAAAGATGTGGTAAGGGAACAAACACCGCCATGCTGAACCGCCTAGCTTAGATCTTTACGCGATACTTTGCGTGCTGTTTGAGGTGTTCGCGGAGACGGCACAAAATAGCGGAGTGCATCCCCCCACCCAAGTGGATGAAGCGTATATTTGGGTCAAGTAAGGGAGAAGGAGTGTGCCGTCGGCTAGTTTCATATTTCATACCGATCTGTAAGTTCCGGCATTTCCAGCACGGCGCGCGAATTGTGCGCTGTGCTGGAACTGTTCCGGAACTTACAGATTCAGTATGAATCCGCTTTACAATGCCTGCGGCGTTGAACAAGGCAAGGCGCAAGCTGAATTCTTAGCAGACATATATAAGCCTGCATTTGCCCAGATATCATCTTTGCGGTCGGTGCGCGGTTGCTTCCTGGTGTAAATAGCTTATTTTGCTAAAATCTACAATTATCCATTTGCATCTCTCGCCATCGTGTGAAACGTTCAGTAAGCTAATCTTAACTTGTGTTTCAGGATGTCCGATGATGAATCCACTCGTAATCGAAAACCTGGTGGAAGTCACCAAGACGACGAAGTAGGGGGAAGCGATGACTCCAAATCGAAGCCAAAGCAGGATGTCTATAGCCGTTTCGTCGAGAGCATAGCAAGTGCTCTGAACTCCGTGACAAGCGGTGTTAGTAGTGCTGTCAAAGCTGGAGCTGGTTAGTACATTCTTTTCGAAATGATTATAGGGAAGTACCTCTAAATCTGGAGGGAAGCAAGATGACGATGAAGGAAAAAGCGATGATTCGAAAGCGAGGCCGAAACAATGCCGCAGTTTTGTAGAGAGTTTAGCAGTTGCTCTGAAGTCTGTGAAAAGCGGTGTTAATAATGCTGTCAAGGCTGCAGCTGGTCAGTACTTTTCTGTATGAATTTTGTCCATAATAATGTTTCAACGAGGAACAAGTGGCGTAGTGGTCTGAGGGCCGCTGTGACCAGGTCGGACTAATGCCGATTCCTTCCAGGGACTAACCACGCCCTCTAACTTCCGGGGATGGTAAATTGGTGCCAGAGTAGTCTGGGGGAGGGGGGAAGTACTGACTTCGTGATCGGCTGGCCCCGCAAGTCACTATAAAAGGCCTGCACGCATTCAGTAGCTCTTTAGCCATGAAGTAGAATACGTTCTTTGCATGTCCGCAGAGGGTATTGATGATGCCGAATTTTCTAACCTTTTTCTTCCAGTTTTATAACCAAGAAGCCACAGATGGCCCTATCTGCGAACCGTCTTTGAAGCATATAGAAAGCTTCGTCGTATTTGCCAAGAGTATAGGGTGCCTCAATGGTGTCGCAGCTCCAGCGGCTCGCGTCTTCGCAGCCACTTCGCTATACCTAGGCTTCGCAACACATTCGCGAACCTATTCTTTAGACTTTTTTCCATGCACGCTAGCCTTTTTTCTTCGCCGCCAGCCTACCATTACCAAAGCAAGCAGAGGGGTCAGAGTATACGACTTCCTTAAAGGCACCGTCCACCCTATGTTGAGATGTGGAGCTTTTGGCAGCATATGATAGTAGGGCCCTCTATCAATCCAGTGCCCAAGTCGCGGCGTAAAATGCCGCTTCGGAAGCGAGAAAATCGCTTCGGAATAGCGAAGATGCGCGAGGACCCCCATCCATGCCCGTCCTCCCTCATCCATACCCGCCCATTTGTGCGCGCCCGTCCAATCACCATTCTGGAAAGCCGGCCTGTGGGTTCTCCGGAACGGGGATTGTCGGGGTTTTCGAGCATTCTCGACTTCATATTCGGAATCAGGGACATGAGAAGGCCCTGAAACGACAAAAACAGGCAAGTCGAAAATCTGGGTGGACGGTGCCTTTAAGTTTTAAGGGCCTGATTACTCAGCTTCAACAAGGCTCCTGAAGCGCCAGGAAGGTTTACCATTATAGACGCTCTGTATCAACTTGTCCTTTCGGAATGCGCATTTTCTTTTTTCTGTTTTTTAGCAATTATAAGTTGAGAATAAGCATAGTTTAGTAGAATCGCTTTTCTTTCCATTAACAGAGGCCCTAGCTATATAAACTTCAAAAGTCAAAACTGAGAAGAACTGAACGGCGAAGTTCTGCAGCTAGTTGTGAAGTTAATCGGCAAGTTAGTTTGCCTGTTGTGACTCAAATCGACAGGTATATACGTTCTCACTTCTGCATGCATCATTTGAATCTTTCAGTCAGTACCAGCGAATGCATGGCATTCACTACTAACAATGTGCCTGAGGAGAAGTCAGTCAAAAGACGTTTCATTTAGGCATCTTTGCTTTCATAAGGCTGTTTCAGCATGATGCTATAGGAGGTTATGAACATCTGCTGAGACCAGATTTTCAGACTATGCACTAACCGTAGTAATCAACAAGTTGTTTCAGAAGGAAGCTGCGGTACAACATCAAAATTAAAGTCATTCACATTGGAAGGCATTGCCGAATTCATCAAAACAGAAAAGCCGCGTAACATAATTGTTATGAGTGGAGCAGGCATTTCTACCTCAGCTGGAATTCCTGATTTCAGAAGCCCTGGTAAATTTCATCCTCATCTTGCCATACCGTGACGATCGCACTTTTTAATCGGAAATACTATAGTCGTCTCTTAATCGCTATTATACAGGAAGCGGGTTATACGATAATCTACAAAAGTACAACCTTCCTGATCCTCAGGCAGTCTTCGATATATCGTTTTTCCGTACAAATCCGGAACCTTTTTACGATTTATGCAAACAGCTCTTTCCCGAAACGCTAAAAGTATGCCGACTTCTTCGTTTTCTTGGTTATCACTGAGACTGGGATATTCACGGATTTCAGCCAACACCCTGTCATTTCTTTGTCAAACTGCTTCACAAGAAGGGTATCTTACGGAGATGGTTCACGCAGGTTGGTTGTTCTCGAAATTCTGTAATGTGTAGCTTTTGCCCGGGTCATGTGTTTCACTTTTTGATTTTGTTTAGCTCACATCAGTTGAAATTTGTTCGGTTTTGCTATTTAGAATAGCTGCTATCACTGCGACAATGACATGCAGTTTTCTTTACAAAAACGGTAACCGTTGTCTTCACTATCAAATTTCCAGAATATCGACTCACTAGAATTTATCACTGGCGTGCCTGACGACAAAATAGTATGTGCTCATGGCAATCATCACACAAGCACTTGTCTCAAGTGCCACAAAAAATACGATATGCAGTGGATTACAGGTAGTCGCTGAAAGTATTGTCGCAAATTTTCTTGCCAGCACAAATTTTCAGACCGCATAAAAGATCCTGCTTGCAAAGTACCGAAATGTGAAAAATGTGATGGAGTGGTTAAACCAGATATCGTATTTTTCGGCGAGAATTTACCGGAACGCTTTTTCAAGTGCGCTATCTCGGTAAGGAATACTTAGTAAATTTTCCTATTTTGAATAATTTCGACTTTACAGGATTTTCCGAAGTGTGACTTATTGTTGATATTGGGAACATCGCTGGTTGTACAGCCTTTTGCCAGTATGGTGAATGAGGTAAGCATAAATTATATGCCAAAATGTAAAGGATTTTGATAATTTCCAGGTTTCTTGAGTTTTCGAATTTATTTTGTAGGAGCATAACTTTTTCAAATCTGATTTGTTGTATGCCTTTGTAGGTGTCAGAAGATGTTCCCCGTTTGCTAATTAACAGGGAAGAGGCAGGACGTGCTGGCTTGTTTGAACGCGCTATGGGCATCCAAGGACTGTGTTATGGAATGAATGAGAACAAGAGGTGAGTCTCAAATTTATCACTTCCCAGTAATGCTCTTCAACAGCGTCAAATATATTGTTGACAAAATGCATTTGCTGTGGTTGGAAAGGCAGGCCGAGTTATGCTATGAACTGACGATTTCGAAGAACCTTTACGCGCTAATCTTGCACAGTGTTCCTTTCGGGGATGCAGGAAATCGTTTTGCAAATTAACTGCTGGTTTTTTGCCCTTTTGCTGGTTTTTGAATGGAGTATGTGTTGGTCTTGGTTATCAAGAATGCTATTTTAGAACTGCTATTTTTTATGCCCCTCTAGAAGGTGTTCGCGACAATAGTTTATCGTTCGTTTTACGTGGTGGCAGACCCACTTTATCGGTTACAATTCATCAATATGTTCGGCTTATTTCATGACTTTACGAACTGTGGGAAATCTTACTTATTTGTCATTTCCCATGCGCGTGAAGGCAGCGATAAGAAAACGAACAACAGGCATGTCGCGAGTGGCCTTATGCCATCAGTCTGGGGAATGTTTGCACACTTTTTATCCATTGACTCATGATGTTATGTAATTCATCAGTATTACCTCGAAGGCGTGGTAGAGTTGCTTCTGAGCGTGGAAGGTAATAAAAATCAGTTTTAGCACGAGCTCTTGCAGAGATGTCTTTTGGCAAGGAACATGTGACGACGGTTGCCGAAAGTTGGCGGAACTGCTCGGTTGGGAGCACGAGTTGGATGCTTTGATCCAGGAAGGCGGAGTGGAGGGTAAAGTCAAACTGTAGGTAATGCATTCTCGATGTAGCCATCCTGAATTTGGGCTATGCAAGGTTTGTACATCTCTGTATCTATTGTATCAACATAATAACTATATCTAATCAGAAAGTGTTGTGAGTATATGGAGTATATGATTAGGATGTAGTTCGTATTTTTTAGTCCGGTCATTATTAACTTAATCCAAGCTTTCATGCCAGTGAAGCAGATGTCAATGTATTGTGATTTTTCAGTATCGTGGCTTTGTACAGTGCATATATCTAATCCTCACTGATAAACGAAGTATTCTGCTCTGAAGATCCTCTCGAAAAAGATAATAGTGTGCTACTCCGATTGTAGGACCGCAAAAAATTCGCAACGTTTTCCAGTTATTTCTTCTATGAGAGGGCGTGGAACGCCCATGCTCCTTCATGAAAGAAAAATCTTTGCGTACCTTTCCACCCCGAAAAGATCGCGGACCACTCCAGGTGGCGCCGGTGGTGTAGAGCGGGTGTTAAAAGTTTGAACGCTAGTGAAATCGTAAGACGTTTCCACAACTTGCCACATTCAGTTATAAAATAGAGGCAGTCAAAAGTTTTTTAGCTGCAAGACTTCTATATAAACTTTCAGATGGGTATGACTGGAGTTGAAGTGAACAGGCTACTTCTTTTTCTAACAGTGGTTCTCCAAAAATGTCCGTATTGACACGCCAAAAAACTTATGAACCGGAGAGCTCTTTCCTTGTGCAGATTCGTTCCTGTAAGCGGCCATGACTCAGAACATCGTAAACGATGTAAGGTGAAAATCTAATAGAAGAATTTTGAAAGGAACAAGTTACAATACCGCTATGTGCAGAAGGAGACACAAGCTCACCTAAGTAAGGTGACATTATCGTCGCATCGCCGTATCTCGCGTCGGAGTGAAGTAGTTTTGAGTCCAAATCAACCATTCAACTCAGCTAGGCGCGGCATTTCTTCTGATGTGTAGAAGGCCTATCTGAATACGATATGTTCGCGGTAGGTATCTTCTCAATGCTCTAGATTAGGGAGCAAAAGAGAACTATGAGTGACCTAACCCGGTAAAAACCGGAAAGGATTCGTGAATAAACGACTAGCCGCCATGGAGGCACCCTACTCAAGCAGGCACTTCTATATTTGAGCACATATGCCGCGGCTAGCTTGAGGGTGCCTATAAGTACAGAGTTCGTTCATTCCGAAGCGAGATATGGCTTGCGACGCTAATATCGGCTGACTTAGGTGACATCGCGTGTTTTTACTTATATTATGCTCATATTATACTCATCAAAGCATTGGTTTAGATGAAATTTAGGCGTAATTCACATGAATTCTCAAGGCTATTGAATAGTTTCTTACGCGGCGGTCCCATTGAATCGTGAAAGTAAGCTTAAATCCACAGGTCAAAATATCACGCTAGAATGGATTAAAGAAAGGCTTATATCAAAAATTAGCAGCATACAAGTTTGCAGCCCTTTCACCGAGAGTTTAAGGAATGTTATCTAATATCTTGGTTTTATACGTAACTAGCTGGCTTACCCGGCTCCGCCGTATCCGGACCAAACTTGGCACACATACACTTCGGGCCCCGGCGGGTGTCACAGTCCACTTTTCGTTATCGATCGATGCCGATTTTACCGATTTTTATCGATTTTTTTGCAGAGTTCACCTACAGGGCTAGGAGTTGGCACAGGGGGGGGAAGTGAGCATGGGGATTCCGAATACAATATTAGTTTTCAGAATTATCGATTACTTTTATTGATTTTATCGATTTTTTGTAAATTTTGACATGCGAGGCTGGGATTTTGCACAGGGGGGTAATCGAGCATGCTGATCACGAACACAATATTAGTTTCAGGATCGTCCATTACTTTTATCGATTTTATCGATTTTTTTGCAAAGTTTGACCTGCGGGGCTGGGAGTTTGCACAGAGGGTAATTTAGCATGCAGATACGAATACAATATTAGTTTTCAAGATCGTCCATTACTTTTATCGATTTTATCGATTTTTTGAAAATTTGAGCTAGGGGGCTGGAATTTGGCACAGGGGTGTTCGAGCATGCTGATCACCCCCCTTGGGGATGATCAGCATGCTCGATTGCCCCCCTGTGCCAACTCTCAGCCCCCTAGCTCAAACTTTGCAAAAAATCGATAAAATCGATAAAAGTAATCGATAATCCTGAAAACCAATATTGTATTCGGAATCCCCATGCTCGATTACCCCCCTGTGCGAACTCCCAGCCCCGTAGCTCAAACTTTGCAAAAAAATCGATAAAATCGATAAAAGTAATCGATAATCCTGAAAACCAATATTGTATTCGGAATCCCCATGCTCGATTACCCCCCTGTGCCAACTCCCAGCCCCGTAGCTCAAACTTTGCAAAAAAATCGATAAAATCGATAAAAGTAATCGATAATCCTGAAAACCAATATTGTATTCGGAATCCTCATGCTCGATTACCCCCCTGTGCCAACTCCCAGCCCCGTAGGTGAACTCAGCAAAAAAATCGATAAAAATCGATAAAATCGATATCGATCGATGACGAAAAGTAGCCTATGACACCCGCCGGGGCCCGTAGTGTATGTGTGCCAAGTTTGGTCCGGATCGGTTCAGAAATGGAATTTTCTATTCGGAACATACGTACAGACATACATACAGACAGACAGACAGACAGACAGACATACATACAAACAGACATTCAGCTTTATATATAAGATCATTCTATAATAAAGAATGGCAAGGTTTTGCACTTACATGTTGACAAGTTGCGGAATGAGGCGAGTGATTGCCGAGGGTGCGGAGGGTGCAGATTGTCTACAAGGCTAGCGTGTTTTCGTAGGAGTACAGGGGGTGGTAAATATCGACTGTCTTCGAGGAAGGCGTCCAAAAGGGGTGCGGTTCTTGAGTGCAAAAAGGCTATAGTCGGGAAGGGGCCGACACTCTCGTAAGGTTGCTAACAGTATCCCCCCCCCCCTCTTTCGCAAATTTGTACTCGGATGTATGACTTGGGAACTCGGTGTCTTGCGTAAACATGCTGTAGTAGTTTCTCAACGTTTACGCTTTAACTGTTCACACTCTAATCTTCCTGCTAAAGTTCTTGGCAGCCCGTAATTCGTCAAAGTTCATGGTTGCTCATAATTGGTGAGGACTGATGAGAACAGTTCTTTGTTCTTCTCGAAATAAAAGTTGGTAAACGGCCCGTAGAGCGACTTTTATAGGTCTCTAAGGCTCAAAGGGCAATCATTTCTTACAACTCTGGTCTATTAGCTGTCCATTGGGTAGATCTTTCAATAAATGTAGTTGTTCATAGGACACTTTCTTGATTTGTAGGGGCTCGTAAGGCAGTTCTGTTAATAGTATTGATCGGCATCTGTAAGCTTCACGTAGCGAGTTTTTTCTACAAATCATTCAATTATCGTTCCATAAGCTTCGCATATGGCAAAATTATTTCTCAGATGCTGATCTATAAGCGGCCAGAGCATCTCCTAGAACAGTCGGTCTGTATGCGGCGCATAGGGTAGTCCCTTTGAAAGTTGCTTTGCATGAACGTGAATATCGTGAGCGATTCATTATTATTTTTTTGTTTGGATACTAGAAAATCACAAATACTTGTTTATAAGGGACTCGCAGAGCGGTTCTTTTTCAAATATTGATCTATGAGCGGCTCTTGAGGCAATTTTTTTCAAGATGTTTTTTATATGCCGGTCTGTAAGCGGCGCATAAAGCAGTTCCTTACCAAGATAATGGCCTGCAAGAGGCCCATGGGCATTTTTTCACAAGATATCGGTTTGCAACCACCCCTTCCCCCCCCCCCCCTCCCCCTTCCTCCATAGGGCGGCTTCTTCCAAGCCCATAAGGCAGTTTTTTCCCTCCAAATATCGGTCTGTAGAATCTCATATGGCATTTCTTTTTGAATTTTGGTCTGTAAAAGGCCAGTAAAGCAGTTTTATCACAGAATATCGATTTGTATGGATTTCAAGGGCACTTCCTCGAAATACCGTTGTGTAGGTATCTAATTGTAAGTAGCTGATAGCTCCATTTTCTTCGATCAGAACTTTGGTCTTTGGCTCCATAGAGCACATCATATGCGAGCGCTTCGTACGGCAGTACAGTTTGTAGGGGTTCTAGGGTAATAGAATTTTCGGATATCGGGCTGGTTCCTGTAGGACAGCGCCTTCTCATAATTATTGGTCCATGGGGGAAGGAGGGGGGGGGGGGGGGAGAGAATGGTTGTAAGGTAGCTTTTTCTCAGAATATCGGTCTGTAGGGCGGCCTTAGCGCAGTTTTTCTCAAGTATGGGTTTGTTGGGTGTCAGGGGAGGGGTTTGTGTACATTCTGAACCGGTACATAAGCTTCTTATAGGGCAATTATTTTTTTATAAACATCGGTCTATAGGGATTGTAACCTCTTAACACATTGGTCTTTCAGTGGCTCATAGGGCATGTTCTTCCTACAGTTACTGGTCTACAGTGGAGCGTAGGGCTGTTATTTTTTGATGCATTAGTTAGGACGTAAAGATATGTCTTAAGCAGCCTCAGAGCTTCTCTTGTTCTCAAAATATTAGCTTGTGGTATACACAGAGCGGTTGTTTCTTGAAAAAGAGTAGTCCAAGCGGCTCTTTGGGCATTTTTTAAAGGTTAATTTGAAGATTTCAAGAACAATTTCTTCTTAAAATATCGGTCTATGCGCGGCCCATAGGGCAACCTCTTCTCGAAGTGAAGGACCGCAAGCGGCTCATAGGCTTCTTTTTCATGTGCAGTTTTTTTTGAAAATATCGGTTCGTAGGCAGCCCACAGGGCAGTTACTCTTCAAAGTAAGGATCTGTAAGCGGCCCATAGGGCCCTTCTAATGACTGATCACCGTTCGCGGGCAGTTTCTTTCTTCTGTAAGCAGCCCATACCGCTTCCTCGCAATATTAGTGTGCAGGGGGCGTGGCAGATTTATCCCAGAATGTAATGTAATATCATTTATTGTTGTTCAGAGGACAGTACTTTCTCAGGTTATAACTCTGTAGAAAACCCGTAAGAAAGCTTTTTCTCGTGAAATACCGTTCTGGACAATCGTAGGGCAGCTCTTACGTATGTCGCTCTGTAGGCGGTACGCGGAGCAGGATTTATTCAAAAAAGTGGTCTGTAAGCGACACGCAGGGCATGAGAACAATGCTTGTTTTTGCTGCCGAAATTTTTCGGACACTAAAGTATGTTTTCAGTTTAGCTGAGGTATTGTAGACTACATCGTTGTTCTGAGAATCGACTGCTTGGTGACTCTCAGTGAAGGTTGGTGGAAAAATTT